AATTCCTCCTCGCATATAACATAGCAGATATATGTTGTATGGTACAGAAAAATGGAAAAGCACAAGTTAGCTTCATATTGAATTTCATTAGTTCGGACTTCCATTGTCTAATGATATATAAAATCATTTGAAATCCCTAAAATGTACAAATTAAAAATAAAAACGAATAACTGAATGTTAAAATTATATTAAGCAAAAAAAACTGAAATGAAATACAGGTAAAAAATAGAACAATTAAAAAAAATCAAAAAATAAGAGGATCCAAAGCAAGTTACTTCACGACAGTATCTGAACCAGGAATCCAACCACATCAATCGACTGAGAGAGGAATCATCAAGGCTCTATAAAACCGGGCTCTGTAATAATAAGGAAGGTTTCGAAAAAGAACCAACATAACATAAAAGCGTACATGTTTTGCTCGTTGTGGGATAACACGGTTTCTTTCCGAAAGCATTTTGTATTTTGGCCGTATCAATGATTTAGGAAGCATTATGTGTTTTGGCCGTATCAATAATTTCGTAACATAACCGAATGTGGTACGAAATGACGCTCTGAGCAATGCTGGTTCAGAAAGGCATGGAGGCAATGGCTCGTAACATAAAAACGTACATGTTTGGCTCGTTTCCCTTCTGAAAGCATTTTTTGTTATGACCGTATCAATAATTCCGTAACGTAACCGGATGAGGTAAGAAATAACGCTCTAAGCAATGGTGGTTCAGAAAGGCATGGAGGCAATGGCTCGTAACATAAAAACGTACATGTTTGGCTCGTTTCCCTTCTGAAAACATTTTGTGTTTTGGCCATATCGATAATTCCGCAACGTAACCGCAACAAATTATGCTCTAAGCAATGGTGGTTCAGAAAGGCATGAAGGCAATGGCTTGTAACTTAAAAACGTACATCTCTTGCTCGTTGTGAGATGACACGGTTTCATTCCGGAAGCATTTTGTACTTTGGCCGTATCAATGATTCTGGAAGCACTTTGTGTTTTGGCTGTACTAATCATTCCGTAACGTAACCGAAGGAGATACAGAATAACGCTCTAAGCCAGGGGTTCCCAACCTTTTTGCACCTGCGTACCACTTGACTTTTTGAGAAATATTGGCGTAACTCCAGACCTAAATATTTCAATAAATGTATAATATTTACTCTTCTCAAAGTTTTTTAAATAAATTCTTGAGGAAACTTCATATTTATTGGTTAGGTATTTGTTTGTTTATAACATGCTTATAATAAAGGAGGAATAAAAAGATTAAAATGGTATTAATTTACAGTTTTATTTATTACCCATAGGTCTAAAAACATACAAATAAAAAATTATTAAAAAGTCACCAAAAATGACTTGAAGATTTCTCTTCAAAATAATCTTTTATGGAACTATCTTCTGTAAGGTCGATACAACTTTCTTTTAGTTCCAATTCATTTGGTGAGGTTCCCGAAAAAGGATTTCTGATCCAGTCCACTTTTGAATAATCTTCAGAGAAGTACTTCTTAAAGTTTTTTTGAAGGCCTTCCAAGGGAACATTGATATCTGCAACCACATCTGGCATTGGAGATATTTCATTTTATTCAAAAAATGATGATAGAGTGGAGAATGCAGATAATTCTCCTCCTGTATTTGTGAAAAAAGCAGGACCAACTTTCTCTTGAAGGAGTTTATTTTGTCACTGGCTGTGAATCTGTTGTATTTGGTCCCTGAAGTCCCAAGTTCAGTGTATTGAGTTTGTCAAAAATGTCGGCTAGGTAAGCCCATCTTGAGAACTATTCTTCATCAGCAAACAATTTTTTCATGTCATCATTTTTTTCACTTGAAAACATGAAAACTTCTGATCTCAGTTCAAAGAGACGGTTCAAAATTTTCCCGCGAGATAACACCTCACTTCTGAATGCAGGAGTTAAGTTTTGAACTTGCCACCCATTTCTTCACACATCAAGGAGAATAATCTTGTGTTTAGAGCCCTAGCCTTTATGAAGTTAATAACTTTCACAGCAATATTACCCATAGGTCTAAAAACATACAAATGAAAAATTATTAAAAAGTCAGCAAAAAATTAATCATCATACAAAATATACTTTTATAGTCTTCAGTGCGAAACTTGTTGTTGTTTGCCTGTGATTAAAATATCAACATTAGGAGTAATGGAATTTATCTTCACTCTCAAGTTCTCTTCAACACTTATTCTGCTTCTACATTTATTTTTATGTACAAGAGTTCAGAAAATCCACTCCCACACAAGTAACTCGTAACAAATTGCATCAAAAATAACAGAGCTATCCGGAAGAGCAAAGGGTACTCGGTTACTTTCATGCAACTATCTTCTGTAAGGTCGATAAAACTTCCTTTTAGTTCCAATTCATTTGGTGGGGTTCCCGAAAAAGGATTTCTGATCCAGTCCACTTTTGAATGATCTTCAGAAAAATACTTTTCAAAGCTTTTTTGAAGGCCTTCCAAGAGTACAATGATATCTGCAAAAACGTCTGGCATTGGAGATTGGGATTGGAGATTTTCTTGAAAGAAGGACCAACTTTCTCTTGAAGTCCCAAGTTCAGTGTGTTGAGTTTGTCAAAAATGTCGACTAGGTAAGCCAATCTTGACAACCATTTTTCATCGGCAAACAATTTATTTATGATTTTTTTACTTGAAAACAAGAAAACTTCTGATCTCAATCCAAAAAAACGGTTCAAAATTTTCCCGCGAGATAAACACCTCACTTCTGTATGCAGGAGTGAAGTTTTGAACTTGCCACCCATTTCTTCACACATCAAGAAAAATAATCTTGTGTTTAGAGACCTAGCCTTTATGAAGTTAATAACTTTCACAGCATCTGATAGAACGGAGTTAAGATTTTCTGGCATACCTTTAGCAGCTAATGCTCCTCGATGGATGACACAATGCGTACTTTTGCCTTCAGGAGCAACTCCCTTCATTTTTGCTGCTACCCTGTCAATTTTCCAGACATAGTTATTGCCCCATCTGTACACAAGCCAGTACACTTGGACCAGAGAATGCCTACTTTGAGCACATATTCATCAATTACCTTAAAAATGAGTTCCTCTGTGGTATTTGATTCAAGTGGTTTGCAGAAAAAAAAACTCTTCTGTCACCTTTTCATTATAATCAAATCGCATGAAAACAAGTAGCTGCGCCATGTTTGTAACTTTCGTCAACTTGAAGTGCAAAATAAGTGCATTCTTGGAGTTTTAAAGCCAGTTGTTCTTTAATATTATTAGACATATCGTCAATTAGTCTTTTTACTGTGTTATTTGACCGTGGTATTTTTTTTAATTTCTTTGGCTGCCTTTTCTCCTAACACGGCTTGAACCATATCCACAACGGCCGGCAGTAAAACCGTCTCACCTATTGTGTGAGGCTTTCCACCTTTTGCAATTCTTAAACTAGCAAGGTATGACGCCTTTATCAAATTAGTATCAGTATTGACAAACATTGGGTTTCTTTCTTTAAAAATTAGATTTTTTTTTAATTCAATGGGCTTACCAATCAAATCAGGGTGCTTAGTATTTTGGTGTCACATCAGTTAAGAAGGTTTGGTGCGAAAGTGTTTCAAGACATTCAACACATTGAGGAATAGGAATGTCACTGGTTTCAGTCCCTGGCTTCACTATAAAACCGTACTGTAAGTAGCTTTCATCGTATTCACGATTGGCCGCTAATTTATGTTTTTTAACACAATACTTTGAAGTAGAAGAGGACGTCAGAAATCGTTTCATAGTTCAGTTTTCTTATACGAAATCATAATTAAAAATTACAACACCCGCAACGAACCTGTAATGCCGAGTGAAAGTGAAAGACAATCCTTTCAAAGACCCACAGGAAAAAAATGAAACACCCTTTGTTTACCAAATTTACTATCTGGGGATTCGTAGGTGAAATTACTAAAGTGTTTTATTGTTTTATTACCTAGGAATTATAAATTCCAATGTAATAGAAAAACAAAGGTCGTTCACTGGGTTATGGGTATTTCGTTTTCCTAACGACCCGTCATGTTTGCTATTAAAAGCATGTTGCTCACATCACTACCACCTAAAATGTTCCCGCGTACCACTGGTGGTACGCGTACCACCGGTTGGGAACCCCTGCTCTAAGCAATGGTGGCTCAGAAAAGCATCGAGGCAATGGCTCGTAACATAAAAACAAATGAGTTCGGCTCGTTGCGGTATCAATATCAATAATTCCGTAACGTAACCGGATGAGGTAAGAAATAACGCTCTGAGCAATGGTGGTTCAGAAAACATAAAAACGTACATGTTTGGCTCGTTGTGAGATAACACGGTTTCTTTCCGAAAGCACTTTGTATTTTGGCCGTATCAATAATTCCGTAACGTAACCGATTGAGGTACGGAATAATACTCAAGTCAGTGGTTCTAAAACTATGGGTCGCAACACACTAGTAGGTTGCGGGAGCAATTTGGGTGGGTCGCAGAAACAGATTAAAAACACTTAATACTTTACAATTGTTTTTCCCATTTTGGACTAAGGCTAGGGGAGAGTATCTAATTCTTTCGAACATAGCATTAAAAGAACTCAATTAATCACAACATTTGATGATTATCATTACTTGAGCTAAAGAGTTGTTTATATTCACAAGGTTCGGTGATGCTGATGATGATATTTTGGTTAGCAAAACATGAATCGATAGACATTACTTCATCGCGCGAAAAATGTGTTTCAGAGTTACTTCAAACCTGAGGCTCAAATTCCATCATCTATTCTAGTAACACTTTATTGTGAGATTTCAACTGGACAGTTTGCCGCAGCACGTGTTTCAATATGCAAAAGCTACTTCAAGCATGTGCATATACTGTTTGAACATGCTTGAAGAAGTTATTACATAGCACTACGAGTTGCAGTTTCGTAGTGTCTAGTGAAAATCTCACATTGTTCCTTGAATAAGTTAAGTTTTCATCAAGTATCGGTCGATTCCATCACACCTATGTAATCATAAGTGAATGACATTTACTCACAAATATTTTTAACTTACCCAAGCTGGTGCTTTCTTTGATGATATTTTGAGCTGCATTGTCATGAGACCGCGCAGCGTCTTGCATGGCTATTATTTTCGAAGCCAAATGTCGATTTCCCATTCTCATATTTCGTTCTTTGAGGATTTCCAGCTGTGTGTAGACTCTCAAAAATTCTTCTTGGACATCTTGTTCGTTGTATTTGGAATACATGAATTCCGGACCGCTCGTTGAGGAATTAGTACTGTATTGCGGGTTGTCCGACCTAGCCTTGCTGATGAATTTAGATGATGGGTTTTTCGAAACCATTGAACTCTCGTCCGTCCTTTCGTCGTTTTTGAATACCATGAATACCTAAGTAGGGAAAGATAAATTCATTAGTTTATCCAATTCAGTAGCGTTCAAATAGATTCAGAATAATTAAACGCCAACTGACAAAGGGGACGTAACAAATCTGAAGAAATGAACTTTAAACGTTCAAGCCAGTCTCGGATATACCTACACAGTAGGTTGAATGGCCTTACGCCTATCAGGAAACAACTACTCCCCTGGCTAATACCACGAAGGGCGTTGGATTATATCCGACAGGCGTCAGTGCAGGAATCTTCACAGAAAATTTCCTGCATATGCAATTGGCAATACAACTGAAAGAGTCGACCCTCAATTTTGGAACGGGCACACTTGCAGACTTGTTTCGGGCTCATTAGCCACTCATCAGTGCAAGATAGTGGCCATCATCGACCTAAAGTCAATGATATTCCATAATTGAGAATCGGAATTTTTTCAGAGTATTTCATTCCTCTTCCTGAAGTTGAAGCAAACAACAAAATGTCACTCCATCTAGTGGACGAGGTACTACGCCTGTTCGCCTGCACTGACGCCTGTCGGATATAATCCAACGCCCTTCGTGGTATTAGCCAGGGGAGTGGTTGTTTTCTGATAGGCGTCAGTCCATTCAACCTACTGTGTAGGTATATCCGAGACTGGCTTGAACGTCTTTAGATTTGTTTACTGCCAGTCTTCAAGCATAGCCCACTGACTAATAAGAAACGTAACACCCGAAATAGAATCATCAAAATGAATGGACATATTCTAAATAAAGAGCAGTTTTATGAGATAATGAATGGAAAAATCTACGTATTTGCTACTAGAGTTTTCACGAACAATAAACTGATATTATAACAAAATAGGCTTTCACGGATTAGTGTGAAGTTACCCACAACTTTTCATCCACAGTTTATGACGAACAACAATCGAACAGGGTTTAGAATGAGTTTTGCGAACAGTGTTGCCAGATTGCAAATATTAGGAATTTTACCTGTATTTCGATGTTATCATTTTAAAAGCACGATATATTATTGAAACATGTCGAAACATAAACTTATTATATCAGCCAACTGTCGGTATACAAGCATTATTACCGAAAAAAAAATGTAAAATAAGAGTAAAATATTATTCAGGAATATTCATTTGTACCGAAACAGGTAGCATATGAGAACTGGAAACTTAGTTTCTCGGTAAAAAATGTATGATTTGTAAAAAGTATGTCATTTGAAATATCCTGCGTTGAACAATACCGAATGCCCAGGAAAGACTCATCCACATAATATCAAATTTCTCACTTATCAAAAATAGTTTGTTGATGAAAATATCAGAAAAAATAGTTCCGTACATTCGAAACACAATTATTAAAAAAAAACAAATTACTCACTTATCAAAAATTGTTTGTTGATGAAAATTTCAGAATATATTCTTCTAAAGTATATCTATCGACGTGCCCAAACAGATTTGCGTACCATCCGTTTCTTCGGTGCGAACCTTTTTTTAAGTGAGAAATTTGACTTTTTTTGAGTAATTCAGTTCCGAATATAAGGAACTATTTTTTTTCGCACCCAAGGAACGTATGGTACGCAAATCTGTTTCAGTACGTCGATAAATATACTTTCAAAGAATATATTCTGAAATTTTCATCGACAAACTATTTTTGATAAGTGAATAATTTGACTTTTTTGAATAATTGTGTTTCGAATGTACGGAACTATTTTTTTTCGCATCGAAGGAACGTATGATACGCAAATCTGTTCCAGTACGTCGATAGATATACTCTCAAATAATAATTAAAAATGAATAGCTGAAAATAACAATTATATTAAGCAAAATGAACCTGAAATGAAATGATAGTGAAATAAACTACAAGTTAAAATATAACAATTGAATAAATAAAAACAAAAATAAAAATAAAGGAATGAAAAAAGAAAATAAAAATAAAAAGTGTAGAGATTCCAAGTCACGTTAGTTCACGACGTTTCGATTGTTAGTATCTACAATCGTCTTCGGGTGATGACCCGTATTCCCTAGGGGACGTCGCTACGTTAGTGATTGGAAAAGTGACGTGTGCAACATAATCGATGTCGAGATAACAACGCGGTTGAATTATAAAAATAATGGTATAATAATAATGAATGAAAAATCGGATTAAAAAAAATATGGCGACGAGGCATTCAGAGCAGGGTTGAAGAAAAAACATGGCTGCCATCGGGGTTTACATGGTGTGTGTAGAAGAAACATGACAGTTCAACGGGGCTCTATAGTTTTAACGTGCGATTCTTCATTCAATGCGTACAGGGTGTCAAAATATGTCATTTAAAAAACATGACAGTTTAACGGGGCTATATCGTTTTAACGTGTGATTCTGTTCTGGGTTAGGTGGAAGAACAGATGTCAGTCTGTACCTTCTGTTACCGATTGCCATACTGAATCTCGCGCATTTACTTTTTTTAAGTTCATATGTATGAATATAACTGAAAATTAATAAAAGACCTTTATTATTATTATTATTAGTCTTCAATGTGTACAGGGTGTCTCAAAATGTGTCACTTAAGAAAAAGCATGGCAGTTTACCGGAGGCCCAACGTTTTAATGTGCTATCCCAATGAGAAATGTATTTATATTCAAAAGTATTGTGGAGTTTACGTTCGAAAATAGGGCAATGGGGGAGCATAGTATTAGGCAATGGAATTTCAAAATACGTTGTTTCACATGCGTTTTTTCGTTTTCTTGTTTGAATAAATGTCATTTGTCAATATACAGGGTGTAACATAAGTACGTTGAAATATTCAAGTGACGTATTCCTAAGACAATTCTAAGAAAAAAAGTCTATATGAACTTGTGTCCGAAAATGCTTCGTTTTGAAAATACGGGGTGTTGAAATTGAATTTTTTTGTTTGCTTTTCGAAAATAACTCTTGCAAAATATAAATTATTTGCACGAAATTCGGTACCCAGGGTTTTTTTGACGTGGGAAATCATAATTTCGTATTAATTTTCATGTAACATCTAGAGGGCGCTGCGTACGCTGTCATTATTTATTTCAAATTGCCCTAACTTTTTGACAGTAAACTTTTGGTACTTTTCATGAAAAAACCTAATTCCCACACCGTTTCAAGTAAAAAAGGTAAACTTCCTCAACAACGCTGGAGGTGACCGTTTTCGAAATATTTACAATTTTCTATATCGATGCATATCACTTTGCTCCTAGGGCGCTAAGTGAAGTTGCTGAGAACATTACAAAAACTAAGTATGTGGTGGATCTCGTCAAAATAAACAACTTTTTTCTATAAAATGTGTAACGAAAAATGATTCGTTTTCGAAATACAGATTGTTGAAATTTTTCAAAAAATGGCAGATTTTTGCCATAAGTTTTTTGCAATTTTAGTTATTTTCATCAAACTTTATATGCAGTATACGCAGCGCCCTCTAGATGTTACATGAAAACTATTACGAAATTATGATTTCCCACGTCGGTACGCCGGGTACCGAATTTCGAGCAAATAACTTATTTTTTGCAAGAGTTATTTTCAAAAAGCGAACAAAACATTCAACTTCAACACCCCGTATCTCCGAAACGAAGCATTTTCGGACACAAGTTCATATAGCCTATTCTTCTTAAAATTGTCCCAGGAATACGTCACTTCAATATTTTAACGTACTTATGTTACATCCTGTATCCTGCATCATTTAAGTAAAAAAACATGACCTCAATGTGTACAACATGACAAAATACATCATTTGAGAAAAAACATGACAGTTTAACGGGTCTCTAACGTTTTAACATGCGACTCCTCAATGTGTACAGAATATCTCAAAATACGTCATTTAAGAAACAAACATGGCAGTTCAACAGGAGTGTAGCGTTTCAACGTGTGATCCCAATGAGAAACATTTAAACATGTTAGTTCAAGGGGAGTGAAGTATTTCAACGTGCAATCTCAATGAGAAACGTATTTATATAAAAAAGTGTTGTGGCGGCCATGTTTTTTCTTATACGTTAACTGCCATGTTTTTTCTTCAATCCGATTTTTCATTCATCATTATTATCATACCATTATTTTTATAATTCAACCACGTTGTTATCTCTCAACTGAATCTCTTCGATACTAATTCTATCCTTCTATACATCAATTACGTCGGATACGTCTATTTTCCTCTAACGTAGCGAAGTCACCTAGGGAATACGCCATGTATCTCTCTTTTCTCATCTACTCACCAGTCCATCTTACGAATGATTGATTATATGGTCAGAAATCAGTGAAGAGAGTCATACTTTTGTGACTTGAAACAACCAGATATGGCAGATCCACCTGCTAAAATACAATTTCGAGGTCACTTTCTAAGAAGAATGATTTTCTACGTCCTTGGTCTTGGTCACTAAGAAAATATCAATAAATGCGGAACTAGGTTATTTTCTCATAGTTAGTCTCAAATATCCTATTACTTTACAATTAGAGAAGCTTCCGGGACAATTTCGATCTCCATCGATTTCATTTCGAGTTTGAAATAATTGTTCGGAATGATACATGAAACCAAAGAAAATGAGGCATACAAATTAATAATGAAAGAATATAAATCCCATATAAAATGGTCAAAAATTGATAACCATGTAAATTACTCAAAGCTGAATAAATGACCGTGTAGGTACCAGTAACCAGTCATCACATCACACAGAATCTTCTGGCGTGGCGTAGCGTAACTTGAGTAAAAATGTGAATGATCGTTCCGTGATTACGCACGTGGAAATTTGATGTTCTCCACAATTTTATATTTGGTCCATTTTCCATATTGATGAGGAAAGTAGTGTGATGACTGATACTTCGTACTATCTCATTATATTTCAGATTTCAGTGAATAATTTGCATCATTATTATGTTCCTTCACAATAAAACCGTTAACCATAAACATTTTCTTCTACTTATTTTATTTCCAAATTATCATTCAGTTTCTTGATATCTCTCATTCTATTCAGTTCATTCAAAGCCTCATTCTTACAAAGTATATTTCTTGTCATTTTGTTGAAAT